CGATGACACTGTCTAACCATCTCACCCTTTGTCGTCCTCGTCTTCTTTGACCTTCAATCTTTCCCAGCATCAGGGTCTTCTCCAGTGGGTGCTCCCTTCTCATTTGGTGGCCAAGTGCTGATCTAGAGAGACTTTCAATAGAGGGAAATCAGCAGATCTCCAGACAAATAGCAAAATTCTGCTTGCAACTGGTAAAAATTTCACAATAAGAAGCAGAATTTGCCTCCTTTACCTTTTGCCTGACTCATAAGTAGTTTAGTTTTAAACATCTCATAATTATGTTGATATCATGGACTGTTAAACTTTTCTCCTTTTTAACATTTTAATGATTTTAAGGTTATATGTTTGTTTTTAGAGCTGAAAGCTAATTTGCTTGTATTTAACGAACATGTAATATTTTGATAAATGGCCTTTGACCGCAAGTAAACATCATTCATTCAACCTCACCACTCTTTAAGATTAGATGGACAACCCCTGCTCCAAACGACCACTCCCGGGGCTAAACCAAGGCTTTTCTGGTACCGCTCTGGGCCATTCAAGACTCCCTCCCTCTTTGGTGGACTTGCGAAAAAGCAAAAAGCTATTGGGCTGAGATACATGCAGATATGGGAAAAAATGTAAAATGTAAATTTAAGAAAGAACCGGAAATGCTACTTTTGGGACTCAAAATGGAGGAAGTTAATGCGGCAAAAAGGACACTGATGTGGTACATGATCACAACGGCCAGAATGGCGTATGCTCAATGTTGGAAGCAGGATAAAGTGCCTGAAGTTGGGGACTGGATTAAGAAATTACTTTTTATGGTTGAAATGGACAAATTGACAAGGAAACTTAACAATTTGGAAGCAGAAGACTTCATTGCAGACTGGAAAGATTTTAAAGACTACCTGGAAAAGAATTGGGATGTAAGGGATAGTTTATTTAGCTTTGACAATTATTGAAAGTTTAACAGGCATTAAAAATAGATTAAGATATAAAACAAAAAATGGAGGGAGGGAATAGATATGTGTAAAGGGAAAAAAATGAAGAAGATCTAAGAAATGAGTAGGAGGTTGGAGCACTGTGGGAAGCCGCACATGGGGGGGGGGAAGGGAGGAGGGTAGGATGTATAAGTATAAAAGTTTGTGACTTATATTTGACTTTGTTTGTTATATCCTAATAAAATGTTTTTTTTAAAAGACTCCCTCCCTCTTTAGCAAATATGCGCCTGCTGAAGTGAGCTCCGACACCCAAAAGCTTTAACTAGAATTCTTTTTTGGGTCAATTTTTAAGGAGCCATTAAATTCCCATTCCATTAAACCCCTCCTTTTTAACACGTACGTATTCGTTATTAATTCGTTTTATTTAAAACACTTATTAGCCAACTTCCTCTCTCGCAGAGCTCAAAGCCGCTTACAATATAAATAAGATGGATATTAAAAAATATATATAAACAAAACAGTTCTAAAAACACACAAAAGGTCACAATTTAAAAACTCCAATTAGGGCTGCCAGTGATTAAAGACTAAATCAGTCAGATGCAGTCCTGGGTAAAACTGTCTTCAACGGCCTCCTGAACGTTTTGACAGTCAGAGGAACAGGTGGAACCTCCCTGGGGAGGCTGTTCCATAATCGTGGGGCTGCCATCAAAAAAGCCCTCTCTTGTGCGCCCACCAGAAGAGCTTCTTTGATGGGGAGGATAGATAGGGGGTCCTCTCCCTGCAGTCTTAATCCCTGGGCCAGAAAGGAGGGGGGAGAAAATGCCCCAGCCCCAAGCCATGCAGGACTTTAAAGGACAAAATCAACACCTTCCACTGGGCTCTGGAGCAGATCAGTAACCAGTGTAATTGCTGAGGACATATGCTGGCCCTGACCAGCACCCTAGCTGCAGCATTCTGCACTAGCTGCAGCTTCTGGACACTCTTCAAGGGCAGCCCCAAGTAGAGCCAATTGCAACAGTCCAGTCCAGATATAACTAAGGCATGGAGCTCTGACTGACCCAGGAAGGAGAAGGAGCAGCTGACACATCAATTCAAACTGGGTGAAAGAACTCCGAAGCCGCTGCAGCCACCTGATTTTCTAAGGTGGCTACTGTGTCAAGAATAGGGTTGCCAACCCTAACTTGGGAAATTCCTGAAGATTTGGGGGGGTGGAGATCTCAGCAGGGTATTGTGCCATAGAGTCCACCTTCCAAAGCAACCATTTTCTCCACTGTAGTCATGACATCAGTTGCAAGTCTGGGAGATCTCCAGGCCTTACCTGGAGGTTGGCAATCCAAGCAAGCTGCTCTTCCGGGCTGCAAACCTGCCTTTTCGAGGAGAGCATAACCCCCTCCAAGCCAGGAGAGATCCGAAGTCCTTGATTGCCTTTCTACTAACCCAGAGAACTTCAGCCTTGTCAGGATGAAATTGCAGCTTGTTCACCCTCATCCAGTCCATTATGGGCTCTCCTTACTGCCGGAGCTCCGCTCCTGTGTGCTCCCGCAGGAAATGACCCCCGGGTATCACCCCCATATTGGCGAATCCACAGCTCATACCTCTTCCTGATGACCCCTGCCAATGGCTTTATAGAGAAATTATTAAACAGCATGGGGGAGAAGATGGAACCAATGCTCCCACTAAGCTGTGGAGTCTTGTGAGCAAAAATTCTGCTTTGTGAGCTACCAGCATTAAAGTTGTGGGCGGGGGATTTGACTGCTGCATAAATCAGTTTGATCTGGAGCCCTCCTTCCTGAGCGAAGACCAAAATCTGTGAGCCGGAGGCTAAAAACATGTGAGCTAGCTCACACTAACTCAGCTTAGAGGGAACATTGGATGGAACCCTGAGGCACCCCAAAGGCCAAGGGCAGAGCAGACATCTCCCAACACTACCTTCTCACCTCCCATATTATATTAGTCCCTGTTCTCCTGTGTACACAGGGTTGAGCTCGGATTGTCTTGGAAGTACTGCTGGACTTCATCCTCACCTCTCTTTGTTAACTCTTGCATTTACGTGCTAATTTGCCACCATTCGTTGATCTTACCAGCCACCTGGTCCAATTTCAGCTCTGCATGTGCATCTGGGATCTCAGTGGACCCTCCTAATGGCTGCCACCCCACCCCACACCACCCCACCCTCTTTTTTCCTGTAAGCAGCCCTTGAGGCGATTTAATTCCAGTTTTGTCTGAAGTGTGCTTTGAATAAAACTTTGTTGGTCTTAAAGGTGCCACTGGACTCAAACTTTGTTCCCACCCAAAGTGTGTCCAAATTCGCACCCACCACCCTCCTTAGAGACCAACCATTTTCCTCCAGGTTTCCGAAGCCAAAGCCCACTTCCTCAGGTTGGTAGTCAAGGCCGGGTGTAAGCAACATATTAAATATAATGGGGGGGATTACTTCAAACTAGATATGCCCCCGGTCAGTGTTCCCTCTAAGCTGTAGAGTCTCGTGAGCAAAAATTCTACTTTGTGAGCTACTGGCACTAAAGCTGCGAGCAAGCGATTTGGCTGCTGCATAAATGAGTTTGCTCTGGAGCCTTCCTTCCTGAGCTGAGACAGAACTGTGTGAGCCAGCGGCTAAAAAACTGTGAGCTAGCTCACACTAACTCAGCTTAGAGGGAACACTGCCCCCGGTGACCCCTTTCCAATCTAGCAAGAACCCCCCGACAAAATCTGTGAACAGGTGAAGGCAAAGAGAAGCTGAAGAAATCGACCCTCCCTTCTTAAAGCAGATAGTGGGGCTGAGAGAGCTCTCCCAAGAACTGCGCTCGAGAGAACAGCTCTAAAAGAACTTATGATGGACCCAAGGTCACACCAGCAGCTGCATGTGGAGAAGTGGGGAATCAAACCTTGTTCTCCCAGATTAGAGTCCGCGCTCCTAACCACTACACCAAACTGGCTCTCCAAATTTACAAATTACACCAAATTTCCAAGAAGTGGGTCCTGTAGAGTTACTGAGACCACAAATAGATCCAGATGGGGTAGCCCTGTTGCTCTGAAGCAGTAGAACAAAGTTGGGAGTCCAGTGGCTCCTTTTAAGACCAACAAAGTTTTATTCAAGGTATAAGTTTTCATGTTTGCACACAAAAGCTTATATCTTGAATAAAACGTCGTTGGTGGTCGTCTTAAAGGTCCCACTGGACTTCAACTTTGAGACTGCAAGTGTAAGTCGGTTTAACCATGCAAGCGGCCTGAACACGGCTACCCACCTGAATCTGTTTTCAATGGACAATGTCAGGGTTCTTTTTTCCTTTCCTTTTCTTTAAGTAACTATTTGGGATTCCTTAGGCGCATCAAGGAGCTGGGGTGGCTCAAGTGGTTAAGATGCTGAACTGCAGGCTGTGGAAGGTCAGTAGTTCAGCAGTTCAAGACCCAGGTGCCGCAAGACGGGAGAGCTCCTGTCTTTAGTTCCAGCTCCTGCCAACCTAGCAGTTCGAAAGCAAGAAATTGCAAGTAGATAAATAGGGACCACTTCGGTGGGAAGGTCACAGCGTTCCGTGCGCCTTGGTGTTTAGTCATGCCGGCCACATGAACACGGAAACGTCTTCGGACAGCGCTGGCTCTTCGGCTTTGAAACGGAGATGACCACCGCAACCCTAGAGTCGGACTCGACTGGCTTTCGAGCAAGGGAACCTTTACCTTTACCTAGGCGCATCAAACACAATTACCTCCGCCGAACAGAAGGGGGGGGGATTTTAACAGACTAACACCACACACACACACACACACACGCTCTGGAGGCTCTTTGCATGAGCAGGAGAGGACGCCTTCCGGGGAGCGAGGCCCATTGACTAGCCCTGCCTAGGCTCCTGAGTAGACCTCTTCGGGACGACTCCCTGCCTCACGGAGGGAAGCCGCACCCCTTTTCCCCACAGCCGCCGCCTCTACCTCTCCATATCCGGCCTTGCTGCCACTAGAGGCCGCTCGCCTCTCCCAGGCCCGGAAGCCACGCGGGGCCGGACTGGGCTGTCCTTTCGCGGAGGGAAGATTAGGACCACCGGTGGGGGGGGGGGCGCCTCGACCCCCGCGCCTTCCCCGGGCAGCATGAGCGAGCCCCGCCTCTTCCGAGGAGGACCAGATAGCCCCGGAGACGGTAAATGGGGGGAGGGGGAGGGGCGTAAGTCTTCCAGTGTTCCCTCTAAGCTGAGTGAGTGTGAGCTAGCTCACAGTTTTTTAGCCTCCGGCTCACACATTTTTGTCTTCGCTCAGGAAGGGATGGGCTCCAGAGCAGACCCATTTATGCAGCAGCCGAATCACTGGCTCACAACTTGAATGGCAGTCGCTCAGAAAGTAGACTTTTTTGCTCACAGGACTCCACAGCTTAGAGGGAGCATGGGTGGGGGGCACGATTGAGGTCCATCATTTGTGGGTGGGAGAGGTTAAAAGGGGGAAGGGGTGTTAGTCGCAGGAGGCTTCTCAGCCAAACAATCCGAATTCTCTTTCAAGTAGTGACTCCTTTCCGGTGTGTGTGTGTGTGTGTGTGGTGTTCAATGTTCCCTCTAAGCTGAGTTAGTGTGAGCTAGCTCACAGTTTTTTAGCCTCCGGCTCACACGTTTTTGCCTTAGCTCAGGAAGGAGGGCTCCAGAGCAAACTGATTTCTGCAGCAGCCAAATCTCTCGCTCACAACTTCAATGCCAGTCACTCACAAAGTAGAATTTTTGCTCACAAGACTCCACAGTTTAGAAGGAACATTGGTGGTGTTAGTCTGTTAAAATCCCCCCCCCCTTCTGTTCGGCAGAGGTAATTGTGTTTGATGCGCCTAAGGAATCCCAAATAGTTACTTAAAGAAAAGGAAAGGAAAAAAGAACCCTGACATTGTCCATTGAAAACAGATTCAGGTGGGTAGCCGTGTTCAGGCCGCTTGCATGGTTAAACCGACTTACACTTGCAGTCTCAAAGTTGAAGTCCAGTGGGACCTTTAAGACGACCACCAACAACGTTTTATTCAAGATATAAGCTTTTGTGTGCAAACATGAAAGCTTATACCTTGAATAAAACTTTGTTGGTCTTAAAAGGAGCCACTGGATTCCCAACTTTGTTCTACTGCTTCAGAGCAACAGGGCTACCCCATCTGGATCTATTTGTGGTCTCAGTAACTCTACAGGACCCACTTCTTGGAAATTTGGTGTAATTTGTACATTTGGGGAGCCAGTTTGGTGTAGTGGTTAGGAGCGCGGACTCTAATCTGGGAGAACCAGGTTTGATTCCCCACTTCTCCACATGCAGCTGCTGGTGTGACCTTGGGTCCATCATAAGTTCTTTTAGAGCTGTTCTCTCAAGTGCAGTTCTTGGGAGAGCTCTCTCAGCCCCACTATCTGTTGTGGGGAGGGGAAGGGAAAGGAATTGTAAGCCACTCTGAGACTCCTTTGGGTAGTGAAGGGCATGGTATAAATCCAATCTCTTGTTGTCGTCTTCTTTTAATCGACTTTTCTTAACTTGTTTTGTTAGCTGCTGATCTTGTACCAGTATCAGTTAATTTTCACTTGCATTATTTGCTAATCGGTTTGAGCCTCTCTGACCTTCCGCACCATCCAGTATGTATAACAGTGAATTCTGTTGATTTATGATGGGTCACGCACCTAACCTTTCTACATCAGCTCTTCTCTTTTTCTTTTACATTGAGATTTGTTTACACCAAGCCTTCACCTTGTCAATCTACCCCGTCAGACTTCCTGTTATGATTTTTCCATCAGGTATTTATTTATCTGACAAAGCAGGCTGTGACTCATGAAAGGCCATATTAAAATAAATTTAGTCTCTAACGTGACACTGGCCTTTTCTTTTCCTTCATATTAAACTAGGGAAAAGGCTCGTTGTGGAAATAAATCCAACGGCCTCTAGAAAGAGGCTCTGGGCGGGTGCCTCGGCCTTGGACACTCAGTGTCAATTTGCTGTGGCGACCTCAGCAGGGTATAATGACACTGAGTCCACCATTTTCTCCAGAGGAACTGATCTCTGCTACCTAAAGAACAGTTGTAATTCTGAGTGATCTCCAGCCATCACCTGGAGACTGGCAACAATGGGTCCCCAGAAGGGAATGGTTGGTTTGGAGGGTGGAGTCTATGGCTTTGTACCTGTCCGAGGTCCCACGCCTCCTGAAACCTCACCCTCTCCAGACTCCATCCCTCACATCTCCAGGAATTTCCCACCTGGAGTTGGCAACTGTATCTCCTTCCCAGCCAATCATCAGCCTACCTTTATTTCCCCCTCACTCTTCAGCTTTCCACCCCCACACACCTGCAGCCTCTCCCGTGCTCTGAAACCCTGACTGCTATGTCACATTGGCTGTCATAGGGGGGCCACCTCAGCAGCATATAAGGATACAGAGCCCACCATTTTCTCCAGGGGAACTGATCTCTGCCATCTGGAAAGCAGTT